GCAGCAGCAGCAGCACAAACTCAGCCTCCCTTAGCTCTATACTACGAGCTGCTCCGCCGCCTCCTCAGGCTTGCAGGTGCATGCATCCGCAACAGCTCGGGAAAGCAGCAAGAGCAGCAGCAGCAAGAGCAGCAGCAGCAAGAGCGGCAGCAGCAAGAGCAGCAGCAGCAGGAGCAGCAGCAGCAGGAGCAGCAGTCCATAGGGGAGGGAGTTGCTGAGGCGGAGGCATTCTTGAATTGTCTCTTTATCTCTCCTTCCTTGCCTGCTGCTGTTTGCTGCGAGCTGCTGCAGCGGCTGCTGCAGCTGCAGCCGCTGCGCTGCCTCGCGGTGTGGGGCCCCAGAGCCCCACAAGAGTCTGCGCTGCAGGCACACCAGCGCGTACTGCAGCAGCAGCAGCAGCAGCAGAAGGAGCAGCAAAGGGTGGAGGAAGAGCAGGAGCAGCAGGAGAAGCAGGAACAGCTTGAAGATCGTGATAATCAACAGCAACAGCGGCAGCAGAAAAAGCAACAACAGGAGCAGCAGCAGGAGCAGCAGCAGGAGCAGCAGCAGGAGACGCAGCAGCAGGAGCAGCAGGAAGAGCGCAGCAGCATGCTTGTTATTGATCCTCTACTAGAGGCGTTACTACGTGCATGCGTGCTGCTAGCCCATCGATTAAGACTCTTTTGCTGCTGCGCGCATGCGCTGCTGCTGCTGCAGGACCCAAGGGCTGCGGTGTACATACACCGTGTGCTGCTGCAGCCGCAGGAAGCAGCAGCACCAAGTCTTAGTGATTCCTCTACGCTGCAACACGGTGTAGCAGCAGCAGCAGCGGCAGCAAAAGAAGCAGCAGCATTACATGGGGAAGACGACGAGCAGCACATGCTGCTGCCTTCTGCTGCTAGTGCTGCTGCTGCTCTTGCTGCTGCAGTACCTGCTATGGCCCTGCAGCTGCTGCAGCTAGATGCATCAGAGGCTTCGCTGCTGCTGCTGCTGCGTCTTAATGCTGCTAAGCCGTGGCTGTCTGTTCCTGTCCCGCGCTGCTGCTGCAGTGCCTGCTGCAGCAGCAGCAACAGCAGCAGCAGCAAGGTCGTTTGCCTGTGCAGCAGCAGCAGCAGCAGGGGCTCTCTGCTGTTTGCTGCTGATGCTATTGTCCCTCGTCTCCTTTGCTGCAGTTTGCTGCTGCACTTATATCTAAAGGCAGCATTTGCTGCTTGTGCTGCTGCTGTTGAGCATCTCTCGCTGCTGCAGGTATGTCTCCTTTTTTGTCTCCTTTTTTGTCCCTTTTTTGTCTCCTTTTTTTCTCCTTTTTTGTCTCCTTTTTTGTCCCTTTTTTGTCTCCTTTTCTTCTTTTTTTTTGCCCCTTTTTTGTCTCCTTTTTTTCTCCTTTTTTGTCTCCTTTTTTGTCCCTTTTTTGTCTCCTTTTTTGTCTCCTTTTTTGTCTCCTTTTTGTCTCTTTACGTGTCTCCTTTTGTCCTTATGCTGCTGTTGCTGCTTATGGTGTTGCTGCAGTTGGTGCTGCTGCTGCTTATGCTTATGCTGCTGCTTATGCTTATGCTGCTGCTGTTGCTGCTCCTGCTGCTGCTGCTGCTGCTGCAGATAAAGTTGTACCTGATGCTGGAGCCTCATTTGCTGCTGGATTTCCTCCGTGCTGCTGACGGCAGCTATGACTACGAGCAGGCATACGTGATGCTGCTGCAGCACAACCAGCAGCAGCAGCAGCAGCAGCAGAAGCAGGACGGTGCGGAGGCACACTCTCCCCTAGCTGCTGCTGCAGGAGACATTCGAGCTCCGCATGCAGAATCAGAAGGAGCAGCAACAGCAGCAGCAGGAGAAACAGCAGCAGCAGAAACGGGAGAAACATCAGCAACAGCAGCAACAACCGCAGCAGCAGAAACAGGAGAAACACCAGCAACAGCAGAAGCAACAGCAGCAGCAAAAGCAGCAGCAGTAGCAGCAGGTGCCTCAGAGGATATGCTGCAGTCTCTCCATGCATGCCTCTTGGGTATGGGGGCTGCAGCACCTCGTGCTGCTGCCTTCCTGCTGCAGCGGCTAGGCAGAGAGGAGGAGGCTGTGCTGCTGCTGCTGCTGCGCTGCAGCGATGTCGAGGCAGCTGTTAGCATAGCAGAGGAGACGCAAGCTGCAGCAGCAGCAGCAGCAAGAACAGCAGGATGTCCCCTTGAGCAGCACCTGCACGAGGACGAGTATGTCGGGCAGCAGGACTACCAGGAGCAGGATGAGCAGCAGGAGCAGCAGCAGCAGCAGCAGCAGGACCCTAGTGGTGGCTTGTGGCAGCTAATTGTCTCCGTTTGCTCATCCAGCAGCAGCCTTCTTGTGCGTCTCTTAGATGCGTTAGATAGACCCTTGCTGCAGCAGCGCAGCAGCACAGCAGCAGCAGCAGCAGCAGCAGCAAACGTAGCAGCAGATGCAGCAGATGCAACAGGAGCTGAATCGTCCCTTGTCTCTCTGGCTAGAACCAACAGCAACAGCAACAGCAACAGCAGCAGCAGCAGCAGCAGCAGCAGGACACTAACTCGATGGTATTTGCTGCCGCTCTCTTTAGGGCAGCAGCTGCTGCAGCTGTCTCCTGGTCCTGTGCAGCATTTGCTGCCAGCAATAGACCGTCGTGTTGCTTTGCTGCTACAGCAGCAGCAGCAGCTACTGGAGGTGCAGCAAGCTGCATGCGCATGCATGCAGGCAGAGAAGAAGGTGCTGCAATGGGAGCTCTTCTTCAGCAGACGACGGGGAATTGCTGTCTCCTGCAGCAGCAGCAGCAGCAGCAACAGCAGCAGCAGCAGCAGCAGCAACAGTAGCAGCAGCAGCAGCAGCATGAATGGAGACATAGGGGAGAAGAGACAGCTGCGGTTGCTCTTAGAGAATTCTTCTTATTATACACCTGAGCTGCGGAGACACCTCAGAGCAGCACGTGCTGCAGCAGCAGCAGCAGCAAGACACAACCAGCAGCCGCTGCAGCTATTTAGCGGCATCAGCAGCACACCTGTCCGCTTCCAGTCAACTTCCTTGCTGCGGCAGCCTGCTGCTGCAGCAACAGCAGCAGCAGCAGGAACACCAGCAGCAACACCAGCAACAGCAGCAACAGCAGCAGGGAGGTGTCGGCCTTGCGCTAAGAAGCAAACCGCTGCTGGACCTACTGCAGCGCCTGGAACTCCTGCTGCTGCTGCAGCAGCACCAGCAGCAGCAGCAGCCGCTGCAGCAGCTACAAGCAGGGATCGCTTCTTGACCCGCTGTGTCATTTGCTGCAGACCTCTCTCCTCCCCTCCTGGTACCCGTACAGAGTTTTATACTGCTGCTGCTGCAGCAACAGCAGCAGCAGCAGCAGCAACAGATGGTGTTGAATCAATAGACCCATCAGCAGCACCAACCCGCACCAACTCCCCTAGGTCTGTTCCTGCTGCAGCAGATGCAGCATACGGCCCCCCCGAAGCAACGGGTGCAGCAGCAGCAGCAGCAGCAGCAGAAGCATCAGCACAACCTGCTGCAGTTGCTGCTGCTATAGGCGACGAGCAGCGAGAGCAGCAGCAGCAAGATAAAATAGTGGTGTTTTGGTGTGGTCACTGCATGCACAGCAGCTGCTGCTACCGCAGCAACAGCAGCAGCAGCAGCAGCAAAAAAGGAGACACAGAAGAAGAAGAGGAGACAGATCTCCTTTGTGGCTTGTGCTGCTTTACTCGTGCTGCTGGTGCTGCTGCTGGTGCTCCTGCTGGTGCTGCTGCTGCTGCATGGAGAGACCCTTCGGGACCCCCTGGGCCGTGGGCGAGACCTCCTGCAGCAGCAACAGCAGCTGCAGCAACAGCAGCAGCAGATGGATGCATGCAGTTGTCAGACTGTCAGGGGAAGACCTAAGCTCTGCCTTGGCTGCAGCAGCAGCAGCAGAATCAGCAGCAGCAGCAGAAGCAGCAGCAGCAGCAGAAGCAGCAGCAGCAGCAGCGGCGGTAGCTAGTGCTACGTTCTTGTTGCTGCGCCTACGGCTGCTGCTGCTGCGGTTGCTGCTGCTGCTGCTGCTGCTGCTGCTGCTTCAGCTTAGTTGTGCTTTGGCAGGCCGCAGCGTAAGGAGACAACAAAATATATTTCGTTAAATTTCTTTCTTTTGCTGCTGCTGCTGCAGCGCTGCTGCTGTTGCTGCACCGTTGCTGCTGCTGCAGCGCATATATTCCGTAGTAACGCTTTTTTGTACCGTTGCAGCTCCCATTTAGGGGGCAGCAACTGCTGCCATAGAGCAGCAGCAGCAGCATCTGCTGCTGCTGCAGCATCTGCTGCTGCTGCTGCAGCACACATAGTTGCTAGTAACGCCATTTGTACCCGTGCAGCCCCCAGTACCCGATCAGCAGCAGCACCTGGTGCTCCTGTACCAGCAGCAGCACCTGGTTCCCCTGTACCAGCAGCAACAGCAGCAGCAGCAGCCGTTGCTGCTGCTGCTGCTGCTGTTGCTGCTGCTCCTTATCCTGTGGGGCAAATTGGTCCGTATATCGCCGATGTAGCTCAGTCGGTAGAGCGCGAGGCTCTTAACCTCGTGGTCGCGGGTTCGAGCCCCGTCGTCGGCTATTTTGTATATATTTATTTAATTAATTAAATAATATTTAATATAAATAATATATATAAGGATATATTAATACAATATATATACAATTATATATATAATATATTAATAGCAACAAACAAATTAATATATAAATATATATATAAGGGATAAATAGCTGCATGCACACAATAAATATTAATTTTTTATGATTAATTCTTTTTTTTTTCTCTCTTTACAACTTAGCAAATGCAACAAAAAGAAGAATGGATAAAAGAGTTGCGTATACACCACAAATAGTGGTTAGGTGTGGGGCCCCGCAGCTAGCGGTGGTGCTGCTGCTGGTGCTGCAGTGTACAAGTATAAATGAGTATAAAGAGAGGGAAATAAATAATAATAATAAATATATTTATGAATATAAATAAATATATATAATATATTTATTTAAATATATATAAATAAGTATTAATTTAATTAATTAAATAAA